CGCCGGAAGAGAGAACGAACGCAACAGCAGCGGGGCGGGGGGCACATCGAAAGCCATCCAAACTGAGAACTCCTATCGGCAACCGAGAGCGCTAAACGGAGCATTCGTGTGGGGCTGAGAAGAGGGAAAGAGAATGAGAGAGAGCGAGAGACAACATTCAGCTCGGCCTCTGTCTGTACCTGTCCCCCGCGAACTGTCCTCTGTGTCCATGTAGCGGCGCGCCGCGGCGCGGAGGCGGAGGCGAGGGGCCGGCGGGCAGGAGAAGGTCACGGTGGTCTGCTGGGTGGTCGGGCCCCCGGCGGTCGTCTGTCCCCCGGTCCGCGTCACCGTCACACACTGCCGGCGCACCAGCACGCGGCATGGCCGTGTCCGTCGTCCTCCACCTCCTCGGTCTCCTCCATTGGTCCGGGGTCGGCCCCGGCCAGCAGCGCCTCCAGCTGCTCGGCCGGCACCGGCTGCGCGCCCGCCTCCACCACCACGCGCCGGCGCAGCACGCGCTGCACGTGCACATTGCCGTGCTCGTCAGTGACCTGGCTCTCGACCAGGTCCTCGCCGGGCTGCATTTCCAGCGCGAACGCCTGGGCGGCGGCGGCGGCGCCGGGTCCGCTGAAGGTCGTCTGCCGGCCCTCTCCGGGCATCTGCACCGACCGGTAGCGGACGCGGTCAAAGCCCGGCTCGTCCGTGGACCACTCGCCCTCAGAGACGCGACCCGGCGTCTGGAAGGTGCGCGAGCTGACCGACGGGCCGGCGGCGGCTCCGTCCAGGTCCGCCTCCGGGCCTAGCGTCTCGTTGGAACCCATGATGGTGGCCGACATGGTGGAGGCCATGCTGGAGGACATCAGCGAGTCGGACTCGCACTGGTAGGTGGCGTTGGTCGCCTGCGAGCTCGACACCGAGTCGAACGAGCAGAGTAGCGCGTCGCGGGCGGCGGCCGAGCCGCTGGGCACGTCCCCGGGCAGCGCGGCCGCGGCGCCCGCCGGGTCCGACCACGGCCCGCCGGCTGCCGAGGACAGCTCTAGGGAGTCCGTCATCTGCTGCGGCGGCGCGTCCGGCTCGGCCTCGGCGGCGGGCCGGTTCTCCGGGCGCCCTCCACCGAGTCGGTCATCCGGCGCTGCTCTTCAATCGAGTCGGTCATCCGGCGCTGCTCTTCAATCGAGTCAGTCATCTGCCGCTGCTCCTCGATCGAGTCAGTCATTTGGCGCGGCTCCTCGATCGAGTCAGTCATCACTGGCGGCCCTCTATCGAGTCGGCTGAGATGGCGCCGGGGCGGGGCGCGCTCCAAGGAGTCAGCGCTGCCGGACGCTCCGGCGCCGGCCGCCTCGCTCAGAGGCGCCGGCGGAGCGGCGAGTCGACCGGCTCGCCGGCGCGCTGCTGCGAGGCCGGCGAGTCGTCCGCGCTCTCCGGGCGTGTCCACCACCAGGCTCGACTCGGTCATGTCGACAATGTCCTCCAGGCGCAGGCTGTCGGACATGAGCTCGTCCTCGGCGTGCAGACGCTCCACGTTGCTCTGCGCCTGCCGGATGATCTCGTCGATCTCAAACAGCTGGTCGTCGCGCTCGGCAGCCCGCTCGCTGGCGCGGGAGACGGTCTCGCAGCTGTCACTCTCCGACATCTGACTCTCGTGACCCTCCTCAATTTCGGACAGTAGCGCTCAGCCTGCTCGGCGCGGGCTTCGATCTGCTGGGCCAGCTGACACTGACGCTCTAGACCTTCAAACTCCTGCAGCGAGTTGACGGAAACATCATCTCCCTGGGAGCTGCCGGCCCGGGGACTGCCGTTTCGGCGGGCGACTCCGTTGCCGTTGCCGCTGCCGCTGCCGCTGCCACTGTTGTTTTGAAGACCCGAGCGAGTCCTGCGACCCGCGCTGGGCCATCAGCAGTTCAAGGCGCTCGAACTCTTGGAGCGAGCTCAGGGAAACGTCATCGCTCTCACCACTGCGAGACACGAGTCGTCCCCGCGCGACCATCTCCAGCTCGGGCGTGGAGCTCAGCGACTCCTTCAGCCGCTCCAGCTCTCGGTTACTTAGCACCTCTTCCCGCTCTTCCTCAATGATGTCCTCCAGATGTTTGGTAAACAGCTCTTCCGCCTGGTAGTCAGTGCCGGTAGCACCGCGCGCACTCTCAAACTGCTGCTCGGCCCAGCGTTTTTGCTCGCTGACGTCGATATCCTCATCAGTGGGAGACACCGTGTCCTCGGTGATCTTCTGCACCTCCTCGGGGAAGTAGCGGACACGGGACAGAGGCGTCACGGTGGGCGGCGGCGACACGATCGAGTCCAGTCGTCCACCGCCCTCCACAAGGATAAACTCATCCGGCGAGAGTCCGTGGGGCGGGCGGAGCGGCGGCACCGACACTGGACGCCACCGAATCACCTTTCCGTCCATTACTATCCCCGCTGTCCTCCTCTTCTTCGGGATCGTCTCATGAACGCGTGTAGGAATTGCGGGAGCAAACTCCGGCTGCTCATCCAGCACATATTCACGTCCTTCGTCAGATGACGACTTCTCAGAGGAGGTCGGCGACTTGTCTGACGGGGGCGACACCTGCTGCGGCGAGGCCTCCGCCTCCTCTTGCGCTGCGGACTCGGGAGCCTCTGTGACCGAGATGGTCGGCGCCGCTGCCGGCTGCGGGCTGGGGCGACACTCGGGCGAAAACTCCGGCGTCACCGGCGTCTCGGACGGCATGCGTGTCGGGTAGTCCGCCATCGGCTCGGGACTGTCGGGACGCTCCAGGCTAGGCGCGATGCTCGGGTCGGAGGGCTGCGTCATGATCTGCTGGATCTCCCACTCAGCACGCTCCTCTGACAGACCCTTCTCCAGCAGCTGGGCGCGCAGACGCTCCCCGACGGCGCTGCTGGTCGCCGACTCTGACAGCGCTCTCCGCAGCACGCGCTCGGCCGGCGGAGCGACGGCCAGCGGCGGCGGCGACGGCTGCAGCGTCTCGGCCACTTCCTCCGTGTCTGTCTCGGAGAGCTGCGAGCCGGTGTCGTCCTGCTCCAGGATCCTGTCGCGCGGCAGCGGCAGCGGCGGCGGCCCGGACGGCTCATCCTGGCACAGCGTCTCCGACAGGCAGCTCTCGGACATGAGCGAGCACGTCATGGTGCTGAGCTGCTCTGAGGCGCTCGACAGGTCCATGCGCTCCGACTCTGTGCGCCACGTCTCCTTGATGGCCGCTCTCTGCGACTCAGTGGCCGACGGCTGCTCGGCGCCGGTCAGCCGGCTCGTCTCCGACCGCTGTCGATCGATTCCTGCATGATCTTCGTGGGCTCGACCGGCTCGCTCACCGACTCCATGGCTGGCTCCGGTGATACAACTCGGTCATTGTCGCGTTCCTTTTCCCCGAACACATGACCCTGAATGACGTCAGCGCCCTGACCTGGCGGCCCGAACACCATCTCAGCTGAGCGTTTCATGTTCGGTTCCACAAATAGGTCGTCACCTTCGAATTGTTCCGCCTCCGCACGAGCCTCCTCCTGTTCCTCTGGAGTGGATTCGCCGCTCTCCTCCTGCGACTGATCTGCTCCTTCCGCCTTCGCATCATCACCATCGTCCTCATCATGCCCAGCCGCCTTGGTCTTCTTCCTCGGCCGGGTGGCCCGTGGGGTCGACTCGCGGTCCAGCTCGACGGCAGAAGTCATCAGCGTCTCGGAGGGCTCACTGACCTCCACACTGGCCAGGTGACCGCTGCTCTCTGACGAGTCCAGCGACCGGCCTGGCCATGAGAGACGTCTTGGCGGTGTAGTAGTCCTGCGACGAGCCGGTGGTCGCCGACAGCGCCGTCTCGTACTCAGAGGGCGTGCCCGTGTGCGTGCCGCCGAGCAGCTCCACCTCGGAGCTCGTCGGACGGGAGGTGGCGCGACTGCGTCCGATAGCCCTTCGGCAGCCGTCTGGTACCTGCTGTCACCAGAAACTCGGCGAGTCAGCCGCCGACCGACGCAGTTCGCTGTCCGGGCGACTGAGGCCGAGCGCTGCCGCATCACCACGCCAGACTCGAAACTCGTGGAACGCAGCGGCCACTGCTCCTCGTCTGAGCTTTTCTGACGACGTGACGGAACGGCTGGAGTCTCGTCACCTCGCTCCGGCGATGGCACCGGCTCAAAAGCCAAGTCCTTGTCCTCCGGCATCTCCTGGGAGGGGCCGGTGTGGGTAAACTTTTCGGGTGACGAGGGCCTCTGATGAGATGGCGATTCTGAGGACTGTCGACGATCCACAACAGTAACTACCGACTCGCGACTGGAGACCAGTGAAGACTCGGCGCGGGAGTCGGACGAACGCGACAAGGTCCGCTCGGTCAGCCGACTGGCCGCCGGAGGCCGGCGGCTGCATCGGCCGACGACAGCCAGCTTTCAGAGGTCTCCTCCAGCGACCTGCTCTCAGATGTTTCGGAAGATGACCTGGCTAATACTTCTGAAGACTCCGTAGAGGTCCGATTTAATGTTTCTGACCGACCCTCCAAGACCCGGATACAACCTCCACCATTTCCTCGGAAGTGGTGCTCGTCTTTTCAGATCCTTCCACCAGAGACTTTGAGAACGCCTCGGACACCTCTGTGGCTACGCGACGGACCTTTTCAGACTTGTCCTCCGATGAACTATCACAAGATTCCTCCACAGACTTTGTGAGTGCTTCTGATGTCTCTTGCTGTGATTTCGCAAACGCTTCAGATACATCAGCTGATGTTCGATGGATTCTCTCAGATTTTTCATCTGTAGATCTGGCCGACGTTTCCTCGGTTGAGCGACTAATCTCTTCGGAAACTTCCTCTAGAGAGCGCCCAAACGTTTCAGAAACATCAGCAGAGGTTTTGAGATGCTTTTCCGACTTCCCATCTGACATCTTCAGTGACATGTCAAACAGTTCAGTAGATCGTGACACAGCCTCGAGGTTTCGCTGAAGACCTTGTGGTAGTTTCGGATTGTTCGTCTACAAGACGCGTTTCAGCCGAGCGAGAGAGAAGTCCTGCTGTTCTGATGAGTTTTTCAGGTGGCTTCGTCGGTGGCCTTCACAGCTGCTTCAAACGTCTCCTCTGTTGAACGAGTAATCGCCTCAGATGCTTCCCCGAGGAACGAGTCAGATTCTCAGATCGTTCTTCCGTCGACTTACTAAAACTCTCTTCCGAAGAGCGAGTGATTGAAGTGCGCAGCTTTTCGGCGGTCTCTGCTGTTCCCTTCTCGAAGGTGTCATCCGCCGACTTGCTGATCAATTCAGATGCTTCTTCGGAGGAACGGGACAACAGCTCTTGTTGTTCGTCAAATGACTTGGTAAAAGTTGATTCAGATTCTCTGGACGTTGACGTGGTTCGGTAAAACTCGGTGGCCAATTTCGATGATTGCTCATCAGCAAAAGAAACTGAACCAGCACCCTTTTCCGAAGCCTCAAAGACATCTGGCTCAAGCGATTCTTGTCTACTTTGTCTTTGCGTCTGAGTCTCCACCTCTGCTTGATGAGCCGCCTCCCCTGTGACACTCCCGTGTATGTCGTCGTCCTCCTCTGACCGAACTACTGTGGTGGTAAAAATAGTCCTTTCACCGGATACCCCTTCTTCGAAATCCCCACTGCTGATGACTCTCTGCCTCCGTTCGGTGGTGGAGCCATCCGCCGACGTCTTCTCAGTGAGCTCGGTGACTTCGTGCCCGGATGACGGGAGGTCACTTTCACCACGCAGCTCTTCCAATTCAGTCTGGTCTAGGGCGACCACCGACATTTGACGTAGCCTCTCCATGTGACTTTCCAACGGCGAGAGGTCATTACCACTCTCGCGAAGGTCCTCATCGGTGATCTCGAGGCTTTCTAGGTTGACATGGCGTCGCCGAGATAGATCTGCTGCCTTACGTTCTACCACTTGCTGCACCATGGTACAGTGTTCGTCATCATGACTGCCCTCCTCAGTCAGCTGACGTAGGTATTCGTCCACTTTGGAGTGTGTCTCTGATGTGAACACGGAATCTGGGGCCGGTCGGGGAAGACTTTCTAGATCATCAGTGCCCTCAACGTTGTCGTCGGGCTGCTTACATTCTGCGGCAGCCTCCGACTCCAGCTGGCTTCGTTCATCGCCCAGCAACACAGGCGGCTGCTCGTCGGAGAGCCGAGACAGCTCCGACGAGTCTGTGGTCACCTTATCGGACGACATGGAGTCTTGCAGGCGTGCGTCGGAGTCCTGGCGCGCCGGCTCGACAGCGGTCATGGTGCCCGTCACCGACTCCTCGCCAGTCACCAGCTCAGGGTGCTCCGACAGCCGGCTCTTGATGTCGGACACGATTTCCACCGCCAGTCGCTGGGCATCCTCAAATGACATTGACTGAGGCACGCCAGCAGCTCCACCATTCGCCTGTGTTCTTGTCTGTTCCTCAAAGCCCTCCGTTTCATCCGTGTGCTCTCGCACGCTCGAGTCCCCAACGCTGCTGGAAGACACCTCTTCCTCTCGCTCCAAAACAGTTTGCCGTTCAATGGGAATGTCGTGAACCATCTCAGTGTCCTCCTGCTCGGCGTGATCCAGCGCCGCCTCCCAAACAGGCTGGGCGAACGTCTCTGTCGATACGTGGATGGGCGAGGGCAGAGTGGCAGCTGCCGCCGGTGTTTCGGGTGACAGCGCATCTAACGGCCTAACCCGCACCGTCATATCCAACGACTTTCGAGCCGCAGCCGCATCTACTTCGACACTGCCACGATGCGGGTCACGTTCTTCAAGCTCATGCATCAAATGACTCCTTTCTTCTTCCAGATGCTCTTTCACTTCTCTGAGATGTTCCTTTTCTTCTTCAATGTGCATCTTTTCCTCCTCAATGTGCAGTTTCTCGTGTTCTATTTCATCCTTCATATGAGTCAGTGTTTCTCTCTGTCTTTCTATGCGCTCCTTTTCTTCATGAACGTGCTCCTCTTCGTGAAACAAGTATTCGCGCTCTTTTTGAAGCAATTCTTTCTGCTCCTCCATATATCCAATTTCTTCTTCCATCATTTCCATTCCCTCTTTGATCAGTTCTTTCTGTTCAGTCATCAACAGTTTTTCCTGGTCGACGTGCTGTTTATCCTCGTCCATTTGTTCTTTCACTTCTTTGAGATGTCTTTTCTCCTCTTCGACATGTCTCCTTTCTTCATAGATGTGTTCCATTTCCTCTTCAATATGTTCCTTCTCTTCTTCCAACCGTTTCTCAGTTTCTTCCAAAAGATCAATTTCCTCACCAATTAGCTCCATTCCCTCTTTAAGCAGTTTCTTTTCCTCCTCAACCAGGATCCTTTGAGAGTTTGACTCATCATCGTCCTTCAAGTGTGTCACCTCTTGAGTCATAGGCCCTGGTTCATAATGCTCTTCTTCATGCTCGAGATGTTCTGGTTCAGTCGATGGCTTATAAGCATATGACTCAAATGTTCCGGAGGAGGGTGCCGCCTCATTATCTTCCGCAGCTTCTCGGCACTCAGGAGACAGCATCACGGCATGATCGTCACTTGCAGCTTCCGTGGCACCCTGCTCATCGCCATGGAAGCCTGAATCAGGCTGGAATCTGGAGTCAGACGCTTCACTCTGCAGTCGGTAGGACTGCGGTAGCGAGTGCGTTGGCTCAGACGGCGAGACGTACTCTAAGTCAGGAGCAGACGGAGCCAGAAGCTCCAGGTCCATCCGCTGTCCCGACTGTGTGACGTCCGGAACGTCGACATCCCGAGACTTGGGCGATTCGTCAGCGCTAGACGATGGCTCGTCAGCGTAATGCTCCTGTTGGGGACTTCTAAGAACTTGCTGATGAACTCCTCTCAGTTCATCATCATCCATCGGACTTGCGGCTGCCTCAGCTTCCAAAACATCATCCACGTCATCGATACGATCCAGATGTTCAGAGATGTACTTGTGTTCGGTTTCGGAAACACGGTGTTCACGATGCCCCTGCTCTTCGTCTGGCTCGCGTATGGACGGTTCTTGATAGTCCAGCACTTCCGACTCCGGGGCATGCTCCTCAGTAACATCAAGAATGTCATTCTGAGTATCTGAAACGAACGATTTGGTTTCGATCTCATCCAGAATATTCGGCTGCGTTTCCGACCGCACCTCATCCTCCTGTATTTTCTGTCGCTCTTCGTCATCCTCAGCCAGCATCTTGCGTTCGGCCTCCTCCTCCTCAGCACACTCCGCTTCAGAGTATTCTTCCGTGCAAAACTCTTTAGCTTCATATGCCTCAGGGTCTTCTTCGTCAGCAGCTTGTGACTCAGACACTACGACGGCGGACGCGGCAAGTTCCTGCTGTCGAGCTAATTCCTCCTCTGGGGTAAGAAGCCGCTTTCTCTCCGGGCTCTGACTTTCCAGACTTTGACCCATCTCCTCCATCACAATGTCAGTGCGCATTCGCTTTTCAACGATAGCATGGGTAGCTTCTTCAACCTCCCTTGAGGAGCCCTTTTCTGTTTCTGCTGCCTCATATTTGGAAGATGTTCCCAGAGACTCGATGACATCACTCGTCGTCGTCACCGCATCAGCTTCATGCTGGTATTTCTCGGCAATAGGTGGGACGGCCTCATCCATGCTAAGCGTCTGCTGGTCGTCATCTGTAGCCTGACTCGAGTCATCCCGACTTCTACGGGCGATGAACGGCCTTCGCGCTGCCTGCGTCTCACGCTGAATCTCCTGTTCGAACAGATGGCGCTTAGTGGCGACATCAGCGGCAGAGACGTCTTCAGCCTCATCTTCTCGCGGCACCTCATACGGACTGGGCGCCCGCGGCAGACTGCTGTCGATCCGGTCCACTTCCTGTTCTCCCAGAAATGCCACGTTGACGAGTCCCCGGCCGCCGCCGCCGTCAGCTCCGTCATCGCCGCCAGATGACGGCGGGTCCGATCGAGGCTCGGTGTCATCCTCGTCCTTGCTGTCCTGGCTGTCGCGTCGTCGTGGTTTTTGTTCTTTGGAGCGAGGGGATGCCCCCTCTTGCGAATCTGTGTCCTGCGAACGACGGCTGACGTCCTCCCAGAAACTGCGGCGATCTGAGTAACTCTCAAGAGTCTCTTGGATGCCACTGCTCTCAATCACCCGCTCTGCAACTCGCGTTGTCACAGTGGTGGTGGCTGTCGTGCGTTCGTCATAAGTCGATCGTATGTTTCGTATGGACGTGGATTCAGGAAAAGGTGTTTGTAGTGAAGGATCGAGAGGTTCCGCTCTCGGACTTGCATAATCTATAAAGTTAGTAGACAAATACGAGTTAGATACTGCTTACGGAAGCAACCTTCTCACTTCCTACATACTTTGCGCTAACTGTATTGCTACTGTTTCCACAAAGTAAATCACATACTCATATGAACGAGCTGAAAATGTCGTTAATACACCATCAAGAAGGACAAATGTGAAGGAAGAAGGACAAAGGACCCACTCATTCAAACGTTTACTCAATCACACAGACGATCACACAGTTGCTGCCAAAGACAGCATTACATAAATCCTGGAACAAGGCGGCGTTAGCGCGGAGGAAGAAGCACCCAGTCACCTGAAAAAAATGCGGAGCGACCTCAAAGGTCAAGTGTCATGATTGAGCATGCAATTGGTGGGTGCTTCACCGATGGAGCTTCATCGCCGAAGCAATGAAACTCCATCGTACGACTGAGCCGACAGACGAGACTGCCAAGTCATTCCGGTGACCGTCCAGATTGCCGGCTCTGCATGAGCAGGCCATCGTCTAGGCAGGCACGACAGTTAGTAGGAAGGCGCCGCGCCCCAGCCGCCTACACCAGGTGCGAGTGGGCGTGCCATAACGGAGAGAGCACACCAAGCCAATTCATAGCGCTGTCGCTGCATGAGCCAGCCCTCTAACGGGTTAGTGCCAGTCGGCGCGGACCATCGACACGGCCGCTGCGGCCGCCGAATAGAATTCCGCTACAAGGAGTCGCCAAGTACCTTCGGCTCGGGCCGCGCCTGTCCGCGTGATTCTTCTCCCTTCTGGAAGCGGCTCGTGTGTCGCCACCTGGCGGACCACGGTGCGGCGCACCACACGACGAACACTGCCGTCCGGCAGCGTCTCCTCCTCGATTTGAGGCTCGGCTGCCGCCAGCTGGTCGATCTCCGGAGTGAGGAACTGGGTAGTAAGGACAGTGGAGCGTCGGACTACCCTTCGGACAGTGCCGTCGGGAAACACCTCCGTCTCCACCTGCTCAGGGGTGTCGGATGAGGATAGCAGCTCTCCGCCCGACTCAAGACGCCAGGCGTCGCCGCCAACGGCGGGCAAGTCCAGCAGTCCGCGCAGTGATTCCGGCACATCATCGCCGTACACCTCCCACACCAGGAATTGTCTAGCGTGACCTCCCGCGTCCGGCTCTTCGACCACTCGAGCACCAGTTGGCACCGGAGTCGTACCATCGTACGGCTGACGGATGGTGCGCTTCAGACGGCCGTCGGGAAGAGTCTGTTCCTCCACCTCGAGACCCTGTGGCACACTGGTGACATCGGAAGTCATGACCGTCCTCACCGTTCGACGTCGCACAACCTTCATGATCGAACCATCTGGCATCGTTTGCTCCTCTACGGTGCAGCCGTCCGGAAGGTTGTCGAGGTCGATGTCTGTCACGTTTCTGATAATTCGTCTTCGGATGATCCGCCGAATAGTTCCGTCAGGCAGGGTCTCCTCGTGCACCTCAGCATCGTCAGGCAATTCAGGGACCTCAGGTAGTCCAGCCTGCACTGGATGCGTGGGCTCACCCCGCACTACCTGGGTTCCAAGATCAATGGTTGGCATCTTCACGACGCGGTGCTTAACAAAGCGTCGAGTACCTCCCGGTGACGTTTGTTCAGCCTGCTCGGCCTGTTGGTCTCCCACCGCCCCCGTTGTTATCTGCTCGATGACCTCCGGTGACATTTCCATGGTTCGAACAATGCGGCGTCGAATGGTTTTTCTGACGGTGCCGTCCGGCAGGGTTTCCGTCACCACCTCGCCCTCATCCGGAGCAGCGCTGTCACTGGGAACTGTCTCCGTGGTAACAATGCGCCGGCGGATAATGCGGCGCACGGATCCGTCGGGCAGCGTCTCTTCTGTCACCTCTGCTCCTTCCGGCACCGCCATTTCTGGGGCCTCAGATGTTGTTACGATGCGCCGATGGATAACTCGCCGCACTCTGCCCTCAGGCGTCTCCTCTTCCTCCACTTCAGCGTCCTCCGGCAATGGCGCGCCTTCGGGCAGTTCGATCAGTCGACGCGTAATGCGGCGTACAGTCCCGTCAGGAAGAGTCTCCTCAGAGAACTCTGCACCCTCCGGTACATTGGCCTCTGGAATGGTAGATGTGACCACCGTCCGCCGGATGATGCGGCGAACAGAGCCATCAGGAAGAGTCTCTTCCGTGACCTCGGCGTCTTCTGGTATCTCTTGGTCAAGGCTAGTCGTCACTACGCGTCGGATAATTCGCCGAATGACCGATCCGTCTGGCTGGACTTCCTCCCGAACTTCGGCACCCTCCGGCACGTCAAACTCGGGTTCCTCTGTGCTTGTGATAATTCGTCTCTTAACGATGCGGCGCAGCACCGACCCATCAGGCTGGACCTCTTCCGTTACTTCAGCGCCCTCAGGCACATCGAACTCGGGCTCCTCAGATGTTTCCACTACTCGTCGCCTGATGATGCGCCGGATGATGGAACCGTTGGGCTGCACTTCCTCAGAAACTTCTGCTCCCTCAGGAACTTCAAAATCGGGCTCTTCGGCCGTCGTTGTAACGATTCGTCTTCTGATAATGCGACGAATGATGGAACCATCGGGCTGCACTTCCTCAGAAACTTCTGCTCCCTCAGGAACTTCAAAACCGGGCTCTTCAGCAGTTGTAGTCACTACCCGTCTCCTGATAATGTGACGAATAATTGAACCGTCCGGCTGAACTTCCTCGGAAACCTCAGCCCCTTCCGGCACCTCAAATTCTGGTTCCTCGGTCGTAACTACTCGTCTCCGTATGATGCGGCGAACTATTGAACCATCTGGCTGCACTTCCTCTGACACTTCAGCTCCTTCTGGAACTTCAAAATCTGGCTCTTCAGAAGTCATGAACGTTCGGCGAATTGTTCTTCGAATGACTGATCCATCTGGCAATGTCTCCTCGCTAACTTCGTCTGGCGCTGGGACTGCAGCACTTTGTGCGGGCCGAACAATTCTCCTTCGGCTCACTCTGCGAACCAGGCTTCCATCTGGAAGGGTCTGCTCTTGGATTTCTGTGCCAGCATCCTCCGGGATGTCAAAATCAGGATCACCAGGCTTCAAAACTTGTTTCCACACCTTTTGGAGAGTCCCGTCAGGCTGCCTTTCCTCCTCGACCTGTCCCTCTTCAGGCAGGAAGCCCCAATCTTCGGTGGTGATAATTCTTCTAATGGTGCGTTGTACGGAACCGTCCGGAAGGGTTTCTTCATACACGGTATAATCGGGGAAACGCAGATGCATAGAAGGCATGTCTGCGGCTGAAGAAACAATAGTGCGTTTGTAGATGCGCAGAATGCTGCCATCCGGCTGTTCTTGGATTTCAACATCAGCACCCAACGGCACCGAATCCGGATCAGGGGCATCAAGCTCGTCATCTGATTCGCAGACAGTTCGTTCAACAACCTGGTGGAGGTGAATGTCACCAGCTAGAGGAATGTCACACTCCTCCTTGGGTGTTGAAGGTGGGGTACGAGGGTCAGTTTTCGCTGCACCTCGAGCTGGAACCGATGGCATCTTTTTAGGAATCTTGGACTTCTTCGAAGCCTCCTTCTCCGCTTCAGTTGGTGTGACTGATTCGGGGACATCGTCAAGCGGAGCCAGCATTTTCTCGATTTGTGAGTCAGATATTACCTTCGAAAGATCTACATCCGGATCGGGAGGAGGAGAACCCTTCTTGGTGGAGCCTGGTCGGACCTTGATGGGCGGTTCCGCAGAGGGCGCGCCTGGAACTTTCTTCGGAATCTTGCTAGGCGATTCTTTCTCGCGAGTTTTTCTGTCAGCTGGCGCGGACGTCATTTCAGCCGGGAAGTCCGGCCGTGGTTTCTTTGATGGCAAATCCGGACCTCGATCGGCTGCCGGATGCTTACCAGCGTGAATCTCTAGAGACACGTCTGGCTTTTCTGTGCTAACCATGGAATCACGAACCATTTCCAATCCATCAGGATGGACCATAGACAACATGAAGCTGGTCATAGCAGCGCCGGGCTTTACAGTCGGCTCGTCGTCCTTTGACTTGCTTGATTTTCGCTTGGTCGATTCCGGCTTGGGTGATTTTCCTTCTCGTACAGGGATCTTGGATATCTTTGGAACCTTTTCTACGGAGACCTTCCGCTCACTAGATTTGCGTTTGATCAATTTTGGAATTCCAGACCATTTTACGCCTGGTTTCGGCTTCAGTACTTTCTTCTTTCTGCCGTCATGCAAGACGATTTCCGTAATCTCTATTGTTTCGAATCGAGGGATGACATAGGTTTCTTCGACATCAAAGTATTGAATCCAGACCTTTCTTTTGCGACCGTCGGGTGTGGTGTCATCCTCAATTTTCGCGCCAGCTGGCAGCTCTCCAAGGTTCGAGTCAGTTACCTCAGTTGTGATGACAGCTTGTCGCTGGCCGCTAGGCATTTCGAGGATCTCGATCTCAGAGGTGTCTAGGAACTTTACTTTAGGGAGTTGGTCCTCGGGGATCATCTCAGCAAGGAGCCTGCCCGGTGCCTCAGGCTCCTCTTGTTTCTTGCTACTGAACCCAAACGAAAACGATGGCCATTCGAAACCAGCTTTTGGTTTCACAGTTTTGCGCACACGACCGTCAGGAAGTACCTCTTCTTTCAGTTCGATTTCTGGGGAATCCAGACTTATCTCCGTGTTCACTGGCTGACGCCAAACACGACGTTGACGACCATCAGGTAAAGACTCAACTTCGATCTGCGCGTCCACTGGAATGTTTTTCAACTCCTCATCAGGCACCTCAGTCTTTACGACAAACTGATGCCCATGAACTGGGTGCTCCTCTACTTCTATTTCTGCCTTCTCCTTGCTGAATGATGGTAAGAAGCGAGAAAACAGCCCAGAAAATGAAAAGCGTGCCTCATCATCACTGGCTGGACTAGGCGATCGTGAGCGCACCTTGAACGATCGGAATTCCCAGTCGGGCACCTGTAACATAGGAAGTTTTATCTTCGGCCATTTGGTTCCTTTCCGTGGACGGTAAGTGGTCTTGTGTGACCCATCGGC